CATGGTTTTTTTTTGAGAAAATGGTGCCATGTCAGAGCCACATCAGATTTTGAGAAAATGGCAAAAAAATGCATCAGCATATTCTGTTTGGTTAGCCGTTTCTCAATAAACAGAAACACATTTTGCCATTTTTTCAAAAAAAAAAAAAAACTGCCCATCTTAGAAAACATCATTTTTAGTGTTTTTTTTCTTTCCACAGTGTTTTCTGGTATGATGGCTGATGTGGTGTGTACGTAAAGCAGGAAAAGGCGAGAACAGTTTCTTCTGGAAAGAATTGCCTATGTGACACCGTTTTCTCAGAAAACAGCAACGGAACCAAACAGCACCATGAAAGAATGTTTTCTCAAAAATCACAAAAAAGTGCAATGGCATTTTTGAAAAAACGCAATGGCCCAAAGACCCCCATGGTTTGTGGAAGGAAATCATGAATAACAGAACCATCAGCTGATATTAAAATGGTGAGAACATTTTGTTCTGGAAAGATTGGTGGTGTGGAAATGATCCTCTTAGTTGTACTTTCCCCAACATCTTTGCCTTGGCACATGAAGCAGCTCCTATCAGCTATTATGAGGAGACTGCATATCAGATTGTTTGCTGCCCCAGTTTGAGAAGAAATGTTAATGATTGGGATATGGAAGCCCTTCTATCCTTGATGCAGATCATTGAACAGGTGAAACCACACAGCCTATGCACAAAGATTGTTTTTGGTGGCCATCTGAAGAATCGGACCGGGCATCGACCCGGAAAAGGGAGAGGTTCACTGTATGTATGTATGTATATTTATATATCTTGGCGTGTGTAATAATTATAATTTATCTCTATATATAATATATTATAAATTATATATTATATTATAATATATTAAAAATATATAATTATATTCTTCTATAACATATATTTTTTAATTCAGTTTCATTTTTTTTATATTAAAAATTAATATTTGAGGCCAAAAAAGGCGTTTTTTGGCAAAACTAGTGGGGCAAGGCGTTTTTGGTGACTTGGGAACACGTAGATCTCAAAAAGTTACCCAAAATAAAAAAAAAAAGATCACCTCAATCAGACATCCGAGCACAAAGTTATGGCCATTAGAAGTTTGCAATATGTACTAAAAAATTGCACAAAAAAAAAGGCAAGTTTTCTAAAAAATGGCCGGTTTGACAATTTGGGTCAATGGTTTTGGCTGGTTTTTTCTCTAATACGGTTTTGGGGGTATGATCGAGCTGGCCAGGGGCTGGGTCATGGTTTAACTGGTTCAACCGGCTGGTCTGGTTTTCTAAACACTAGGAAAGCCCTCTTGGGTGTGGATTTGGAAGTAGAAGGTACCCTCAAAGATGACTTTGTTTGGGCTGTGGGCTTCCATCAAGGGTAAAATACCAACTATAGATGTGCTGAGAAGAAAAGGATTGCACATCATCAATTGGTGTTGCCTATGCGGTCAGGCTGAAGAAAATATACAACGTTTATTAGTAACCTGTATATTGAGCTCTTCCTACTCTATTTGGGCTAATGCTCTGCAGCTTCTGGAGTATATTGGGCTCTTCCCCCTGATATTGAATCACTAGTCTCTTCCTGGAGATCCCAAGAGTTCGGCAAGAGGGGTAAAGTACTGTGGAATGTGATTCTTCTTGTGATCTGTTGATGTATTTGGAAGGAGAGGCACAACAGAACTTTTGAAGATCAGTCTCTCCCCATCGAGAAATTCTGTGCCGAGGTTGAAAGAATTCTTCTGAAATGGGTATCTCTTCATTTCTTGTTCAGGGGCTTGAATTCCAACCAGTTTAAGCAGTCTTGGGCAAGAACTTTGTGGGATGACAACTTTTCTGTGTAACGGCCTTATTAAAGTTTTAAAAATATTATAGTTGTACTAGGCTATGGAGGAAAACTCTCCCTCTTCAGCCTTTTATCTCTTCTGTTTTATTAATGGAAATTTCATTCACACAATGTTTCAAAAAAATGTAAAATTTTTCATTTCATATTTTTAGAAAGTATATCAAACACGCTTCTTCATTTTTACCAAATTCTTTTACCACAACATGTATGCTTAACCAACTTTTTGACCATTCTTTTATTCTTGGAACCAAACTATATGCAAACTTTTTCCATGCTGTATTTATTCTTTGTACATATTTCCTTTGCTTTAGCCTAACCCAATTTCTTGATTATTTGATTCAATAATCTGTGCTTGATTTCTTAGTTAAATGGTGATATGAAGATTGATTTTGCAGACAATCCTCTTGCATATAGTTCCTAGTTCATTACATTGCCTAGAGATTTCTGTTAATCATGGATCTTCACCAATAACATCTTAGCATGAGTTTATTTGTCTTTTCCTTCTGTTTATTCTGTACTCTTTTCTTTTAGCTGAATAAAGTGATGGATATTTTGGGCTTTAAGAACATGTGCATGCAATGTTTTTCTAATTTTTACAGTTGGGCTCTGACTCATGTACCATTTCATGAAAAAAATTGTTAATGTGACAGATGATTGTGGACTGAGGCATAGTTTTGAAGGGATGAGAGATCCATCATATGGATGGCCGAACCCTGTAGGAAGGTTGGGCGAAATTTGAAAATTTCTCTCCCATCTAGGAATCACATTCCCTATTTTAGAAAACTGCATTTTCAATAATCAATCTTGAACCAAACCGGATCAGATCTGAAGCCAAAAGGGAGGAGAGGGATATAGTTGATACGGAGTAACAGTAACTCCCAATGAAGGTGTTTACACCCAAGGAGAAAAACAAAACCTACTTCCACTGAAGATGACACAGTGTGAGGATCAACAGGATCAGCAAGACGGCTCTTCAACAAGAACCGAATTCTTCAACAAGAATGGAGTAGAGGGCTGGTGAGCACGACTTCAGATTGCTTCTTCTACCAAGAAGCAATATCAAGAACAATTCTTGATCACTCCCACAAGTAGAGATCGAACTGGGTAGGGGCGGCAAGAACAGGGAAGAACTCTGCAGTTTGTTGTGTCTTGCCTGGTATGTTTTGCATGTCCGCCCTGCTCTTTTATTTATAGCCTTAAAGAGACAACATCCTAATCTGATTAGGAGTTTCCTGATTCAAGTCTTTATTTGGATCTGGACTCTTTAAGTGATAAGGATAATCCCTTATCTTATCTCCAGTTTAAGATCAACTTAATCCTAATCAAATTTGGAGTTTCCTGATCCAATCTTTATTTGGATCTGGGCTCTTTAAGTGGATAGGACTTATCCTTTTATCCTTATCTGTTGATCCAATCCCAGATCTGCTCCTATTTAATTAATCTAATTAACCCAGTTTGAATTGAGCTTTAGGCCCATTAAGTTTATGTGCTCATTTAACCTCTTAACTTGTTGCCCAGTTGGCTCTCTTTGTATGGCGTGGGACTCAAACATTGATCTACACATCAGCCACATGGGATCAGCCCAACCTTTCTTACAAGGCCTGACCGAATTCACTATAGGAGATGGTGAATCCCTGATGGGCCCAACATTGTGGGCAGATGGGCCCAACATGGGATCTACACATTAGCCGAATTCACTATGGACTCTTAATGGGCCCAACATTTACACTAAATGGTCATTGGGTCCAGCCACTTTATGAAAACCCAAGGATTGTGGGTAGATGCAAGATTAACCCATCAGGTATTACCCTCAATGGTCTTACACTTAACCTCTCAGCTCATAATGATCAAACACTGCTCGACAAGAGAGGACCTCTCCCTCAACTGCAAGATACAGTACTGCGCTCTCTACTCACATGGATCCCGGGAATTAAAACCTTTTGCAAAACATTTTGAAACCATAATATATATATGTATATCTTTATATAAATATATTTTGCAAAAAACAAATTTCAACGGTTGAAATCAACTGCCGGCAGTTTAGGTTTCCCCGATCATTCACTTTGTCCGACAAAGGGGTTGATCTTGTCACTATGATCACCCACTCAGATGATTTATCGGACTGTCCCAACATACCCAGGTTTTGACCCTCTCTAAGGAATTCATTGATTGGCATATCAAAGACATGATTCGACACCTAGTACAGTACCATAATCGAGTCTAGGGGTTAGATGTAACATTCCAGTTTTGCCCATCTATCTCCAAGATCCAGGGCAATACTGGAATTTTGGTCCGGTTCAGGGTTTCAAGAAAACCCACATTGCATGTACCTCAGGTCTCACTCTGACAGCTGAGATAAGCCACTCCAACCAACTTGGCGGTACATCAGTGTCAGCCTTGGCAGGATAAATCTCCCCAGATCTATCCAACGACTGTGAAGATTCTAAACTAACACAAGTCTCATAAGTGTCCAGTTTAAGGTATTACCCAGAAACACACCACAATGACATGAATCAATTATGTAATTTATTCATTTACAATAAATGACAAAAGATACATCAATCTGATTGGAGCTAAGGGCATAACTGTCTAACCAGTATAAATGTTACTCCATGGTTCAGGTTCATTTATTGAAAATTTTGCCTTTGAATTTGCCTCAACACAGGGGTTACAATGACATTAACTCATCTTAAGACAAGCTTCTGTTCAGCCTTGAGCAGAAGTGTTAATAGTTGAATATGAGTTTTTAGTAACAGATTTGACCATTTTGTGTGGTGTTGCTCCCCTAAAAGAAACTCTCCATTTTAATGTTGGTTTGTTATATCTTAGTCTTCCCATGAGAAACAACTGTCATATGGATGATCCGGCACTTGCTCAAGGAATGGTGCTTCCGCGCGCAACCATGAAGGCTTCATGTTTGATGCCAACTTGTACTAAAAACCTGATATGTATACAAGGAGAAATATCAGAGCTATCTTGAGAAGTGATCCATGATGTGCTGTGCAGCACTTAGTACTAGCTAGCTTCTAGCTTCTGTATCATCCCATTTCATTGAAGTTGTTATAGCATGTGTTTTTATGAATAGCAGAATTGAAAAATCTGTACTGTACAGTGTACACTTAGTAGACTGTAGACCAACCTTAAATTAATTTTGAATTTGTTTCATGCAGGATCTAGTGACGCAAGTCCAGTGTGCACTCTATATCACATTCGCAGAATTTGAAGGTAATTTGGAGGATGAAAGTGACTTGGAGAGTCTCATAGAGGAACAGTTTGTGGCACTGCAGAAGGCAATGAAGATACCCCATAAAGCCTCTGACGAGGCTCGTATTATGGTGGCCAAGAAATTTCTTACTTTGTTCAGGATGGGCAAACTTGGCCCTTTCACACTAGATGATGTTCCGGATTCTCACAATCCTGTAGCTTAAATGTGCCTTTYTAATTTTAATTTATTGCTTACATGTAAATATAACTTTTGATTTTGATTTTCTTTTGCGTTGAGTCTTCTTGTTGTGGTGGYCAAGAAATTTCTTACTTTGTTCAGGATGGGCAAACTTGGCCCTTTCACACTAGATGATGTTCCGGATTCTCACAATCCTGTAGCTTAAATGTGCCTTTCTAATTTTAATTTATTGCTTACATGTAAATATAACTTTCGATTTTGATTTTCTTATGCGTTGAGTCTTGTTGTGGGGGGGAGATCAGAGGTAGCATAAAATTCCATGGAGCAAGAGTATGTACAAATCCGTCCATTGAAACTTTATTTGGATGGAATTCTGACTTGATGTTCAGTTAACTCATAAATTTTGTGGGAAGCTTTGGATCGCCTTCTCAGTTACAGAACTACAAAAGCAGGACTTTTGTTCCAACCTCCAAGTTTGGCCATCAACAAAATTGCTGTAATTCCTAGAATTTGTGAATGTCCGAGTCATTTGACTTGGTTCGCAATTTTGCTGACAGATGAACATTAGCTTCTACTGTTGCATAATAATTGACCATGGAGTTTTGGTGAAATTGTACTTCACACCAAGGTTCAAAATATCGATGTGCCTGATACGTCGGTAGGAGTGTATCGGGCGATATCGATAGTGTTTTTTTTTTTTTTCCAAAATCAGTTTAAGGGAGCCGGTTCAGGGGTGTATCGGAAAGCCACCAGTATGATATGTATCGGCCGATACGGGCCGATAAGTATCGGCAATTTGAACCTTGGTTCACACATTACACCTAGAAGGGGATGCTTTGGAAGATATAATAATCAAAATAGCGTTCTGCAGAAAAAAAATAATAAGAATAACAATGCAAAAGTTCTTATTCTTTTCTTTTATAGTTCAATGCCAGAGGTTATGGGCCCAACATTTCAGGCCCAGCCTGTAATATAATATAATATATATTTTTAAATATATAATATATGATATATATTTATATTTATATAAATGTTTATTACTTATAAAGGGACCATGACTTTTCAAACCCTCCAGACGGCCCCTTGTCCGTGTATTCCGTTAGCTTTCTGTTAGATCAACAGTAGTGATCAAGTACATGTAAGCATTTAAGTATTTTATACGACTAAATTACCCCTGAATGGCCAATCAATCTATATGCATATACATGCCTGATCATCGGTCCGGCCGGGCCTGGTTGGGCCTTGGGTTGGGTTTTGCACCTATGATAAATGCTATAGCTTAGGTTGGCCCAACCTAGGTTCCATGCCTGAAGCATAAGTTCTGGGCCTACATCTTTTGTTTTCAAACTCACCACTCGTACCATAATTTGTTGTTTGTTACAATTTCAAAGTGTTATGAACAAAACTTTGATTGACCGACCAAATTTTTTATGGGGCATTTGGCAATAAGGAATGTAGATATAATGACCAATTCTCCAAGAGATTCTCCCTGTATCCAGTAACCCTGCTTGGTCCATACTGCATCTGAATCCAATTATTTTGTCTTTATCCATCTCCTTCGGCTAGTTTTTACACCTCAACACCACCCTGCTCAAAAAAGAAAAGAAGGGCCAATTTGGGAGGGCTGGAGCATTGTACTCTGAATAAGCCAGTAAGGCTATATTTGGTTTGAAGGAAAAAGTAGGGAAAGGAAGGGAAAGGTAGGAAAACCTTTATATTTAGTTTGTAAAGGTTTCCCTACCTTTTCCTACCTTCAAACCAAACACAGCCTAAAAGAAGTTTTAGTGGAAACTGGAAAGCTATGCTTTTTGGCTTTTTAGACATTTTTGCTATCCATTTCACCAAGCATGGCTTATAGCTATTCATGTGGGGTTCACCTTTTAAAGTCAAGTTGTTGCACCAAAGCGCTCTTGATGTAGTGCGATATGGTTGCTCCTTGCTAGAAGGCAGCTTGAACGTTGGTTTGTTACATGGTCGGGTCAAACTGCAAGACAAATAGAATAGAGGTCCCAGGGTATTTTACCCAGTGTGGGCAAATTGATGCTTAAGTTAGTGTAGGAGGTTTTTGAGAGAGCTGAGACCTTAGAATGCTAGTAAGAGAGCTCAATCGCGTGTACATTGTGAGGCTGGAGGTGATGCCCTTATATAGGCGATCTGCCATGGGCCTCATGAAATGTGTCCGAAATCACCAACCCACGTACTCCGGAGTCCATTCCGCATCCAAAGATGGGCTCCGTGTAAGCTGATAAGGCTTATCCAAGTCCGTTTGATTCGGGTGGGATAGCGATAAGATTCATTGGTGCGCGACGTGATCCTGAAGAGATCGGAGGCAGCTAGCTCACTTCTAGAAGAAGGCTACGTGGCACCTTAGAAGGTCAGTGTGTGTGACGAGCTGCTCGGGCCTTGGTCTTAGCTATGTGACCCAAGGAGCCTGAGGTGACTTGGGCTACTGAGGTGTCCGAGGATGCTGAGATGTCACGAGATCAACGGGTCACTCCATGTGTCATCATGTCATAGGTTGGGTCAAATTATCCCTCATCAATTGCCCCCACTCTCGAGCTCGAGGCAACCGACTTAGGGCGGGAGTTTTCGATGGGCTTGATGAATTTGGCCCGGTTTTTACTTCTGTTAGATAGTTTTGTATGCCCTTAGTTTCAATCAGAATGATGTACATTATGAGTTTATTGTAAATGAATAAAGTACATATTTGATTTATGTTCCTTTGGTGTGTTTCAGTGTAATACCCTTAAACTGGACACTTAATGAGACTCATGTTAGTTTAGAATGTTCACAGCCAGTGGGTCGGTCTGGGGAGACCTATCTTGATAAGGATGACACTGATGTGCCACCAAGTCAGTTGGGGTGGCCTGTCTCAGCCGCCAGGGTGAGACCCAAGGCACATGCAGTGTAGGATTAATTGAATCTTTGAACCGGACCAGATTTTTAGTATTGCCCTGGACCTTGGAGATTAATGGGCAAAACTGGAAAGCTACACCCGACCCCTACACTCGATTATGATACTGCACTAGGTGTCATATTGGGTTGTCTTTGATGTACCAATCAGTGAGATCCTTAGCGGGGGTCAAAACCTGGGTATGTTGGGACAGTCTGAGAATTCATCAAAGTGGGTGATCATAGTCACAGGATCAGCCCCTTTATCGGACAAAGGTAATGATCGGGGATGCACTCTCTCTAATGGAAACCAAGACTGCCGACAACCGATTTCAATCGTTGAGATTTGTTTTGCAAAATATATTTTATATGAGATATAAAAGTATATATAGTACGGTTTCTAAAATGTTTGCAAAAGGTTTTAATTCCCGGGATCCATATAATTAGAGAGTACAACACTGTTCCTTGCAGGCGAGGGAGAGGTCCTCTCTTGTCGGGCAGTGTTTGATCATTATGGGTTGAGAGGTTAAGTGTAAGACCATTGAGGATAATACCTGATGGGCTAATCTTGCATCTGCCCACAGTCCCTGGGTGTTACAAGGTGGCTTGGCCCAGGGACCACTTAGGGTAAGTGTTGGGCCCATAGAGCCCATGTGATGGGTTTCAGGGGGTGCACTATCCATAACAGTGTATTCGGCCAGGCCTTGTAACAAAGGCTGGGCTGAACCCATGTGGCTGATGTGTAGATCAATGTTTGGGTCCCACGCCACACAAGGAAGCCAAACTGGGCAGCAGTTTGGAAGGCTAAGTGAGCACATAACCTTAGTGGGCCTAAAGCCCATTTTGAACTGGGCTATTTTAATCAGTTAAATAAGGGGCGAATTCTGAGATTGGATTAGCAAATAAGATTGGGTCTTAACCCTATCCACTCAGAGAGTCAAGATCTGAATGTGATTCAGATATGGAAACCTTCTAATGAGATTAGGAGAAGGCTGATCTAATCTGCAGATGAGATAAGGGTTTACCCTTATCACTTAAAGGGAAGTCTGATCCAAATATGATTTGGATCAGCAACTCCTAATGGGATTAGGAGTTGATCCCTTTAAAGTTATAAAAGGAGGAAGGGGCAGCAGCCTTTAGAAGACACACATTCACATCCTCTTCAGAGCTGAATTCACAGAAAGAAGAATTAAGCAACCCTGCGAAATTCTTTCTTGTTGCCTCCTTCCTGTTGCTGCCTCATCTGCCAGTTCAACCTCTAGTTCAGTGGAAGAAATCAAGATTCGATCTTGACATCAATTCCTTGTGAAGGGGCTGATAGGAAGCTGTGCTCACGTGCCATCTTGCTATTTCTTGCGAAAGATTAGGTTCTTGGAGAGAACACTATTGATTCTGCTCCATCCTACACTGCGCCATCTTCAATGGGAGCAGTCTTTGGATCCTTCCTTGGGCGTGAACACCTTCGTTGGGAGATATTATTTCTCCGTATCAGGTATAATCCTCTCCTATTGTTTTTGTTCAGATCTGGTTCGATTCATGGTTCAAGATTGATCCTAGAAAAATATGATTTTTCTAAAATAGGGAATGCGATTCCCAGTTAAAGGAAGAGAAATTTTTGAAATTCGCCCACCTTATTTCGCAAGATTTGGGCATCCATACGATGGATCTCTCACTCCTTCAACTTCAACCGAGGTCCAACCAATAGGTCAAACTTGATGATCCAACCGGCTTGACCTTAAGGGGCGAGGCTGCGTCTTGGGTACGCACGGATGTCATGCGAACTATAAATTTTGTAGACATCAAAAACGCGCTTAACCAAATTCGACCTCGAAATGCGAACAGACATTCCCCTAGGAGCCGTCATGTCTTGTTCAATCTGGACCATCCGTGGCCGGTTAAGGAGGCTATAAATAGGGTCCTTGGGGGCCCATTCATTTCGTCCCATTTCGAGCTCTTGTGCATTCAGAGGTTGCAGAGTGTGTTGTTGTCAAGTCGGTCTTTCTCTTTTCTCGGTAAGTCGTATTCCTTGCTTGTTTCATTTCTCTTTGCTTTTCTTTCCAATATGTCGGGTAGCGAGTCTAGTGGGGAAAGGGTTTAGTCCAGTTAGGCCAAGGAGGGCACCTCGGTCCAGGACCGACGTGGCTCCCATAAAAGGACCTTGTCATTTCGTCGGGCTCCTAGGCCCAGATTGTTGGACCACTTTGGTCCCACCCAGCTGATTGTCGACGATGTCTATGGTCTGACATCTTGGTTCAGAATTCTAGACCCTTTTAGTTATTCCATTCCATTTGTGGTGTTTC